CACGGGGAAAGCAGGGCAGTCGCCGACTCGGCCCGGGGGGTGAGGAGACGCTCAGTTAGGTGTCCTTCCCCCAGGGGAGCACGCTGAGAGGGAGCATCAGGAAGAAAAAAGTGGGGGTTAAACACGGCCGCAGAAGAAAGCGAGGTCTCGGTGGCGTGCATCTTTTTGTTTCTTTTCCCAATTATTACACTTATTGCAAGAGCAAATCTCAAATTTGTTATTTCGTTCTGCCGAGTTGTATGTTGAGGTAACTTCAATTTAAACAAAAAAAACAAACACCAAGAAAAAAACCAACAGGAAAGGAGAAAGGTCAAAGGTCAAAACCATACAGATTTTTAGAGCTACAGAGAGGGATGAATAAAAAACATCAAGAAACTTGGTAAATCAGTATCTTTATTTTATATAAAGTAGTTTGATCAGTGTGCTGAACCTGCATAGAGGTGGTTTTGCTATTTTTAGTAAAATAAACATTTGAAAAAATTACCTTGGAGAACATATCATCTCCAAGCTTATTTCCTTTAATCACTGTTGCTTTTTTCATTACCTACTGCAACTAATCTAACACTGGGTGCTCTTCAGGGGAAGGGAGTGGTACCTAATGTAAGATAGCTCAACATTTTATTTCCTGTAACTGGTAGCGAGGTTCCTAAAATGCAGAACATGTGGCTCACCTTGTGCCACAGCAGCGTGGTACAAAATCTGCATCTATTCCACTCTCCCTCTTTCTCCATTAACATCCTCCAGCATCAGCTGTCAGCTGAGAATTTTCTGTTTAAAAGTCACAGCGCAAGCCAGTTTAAGTACCCAGATGGCCAGAGTTTTAACTCTCACAAGTTACTACAGTACTAGTAAAGAACTTGGATCATGTGTTTGAGGTAACTGAATCAGTTAACAACAGAAGAATGACACACTGATTGCATTATGTATTGCTACACAAACACAAGTCACAGCTGCTAGTCTATGATATTTAAAAGGGACATTATCAACTACAAGCTAAGTTATTTCGTCTGGACATGGAATTATTGTTGATTAGGCACTGGTAAATGCACATTTTAAGTTCAATTTGTGCACATGCCTCCTTCAAGCGCAGAACCCTGGGTAACCACTATTACCCTTCTGTTTGAGTAACTTGCATAGCAACAGGGAGAAAGCATTAATTGCCAGAAGAGAAAAATTAGTGGAAGTTGTTGCGGGCAACAGCTGGAAGAATTCAGCTCTTCCCCAATGACTAAAGTTGAGAGTGTCCCTTTAAAAGTTTCAGATACAACAGAAGTTAACTCATTTTGTTTCTATCATTACAGGAAAGCTAGCATAATTTGACTTACAAGATTTGTTAAATATCAACAAACATTATACAGGCAAACAACTGATCGGTAAATGAAATAGTAGCAACATGGAATTCTAGAAGGTTGAGATTCTGCAGGATTTATTGGGAAGATTAGGAAGGTATGGCAAATACATTGCGATTTTACATAATTAGTTTTAAGAGTAGCTTATGGTAACTACAAACATTATTGAAAGTGCCTGCTTAGAGTCAGTACTTTTCTGGTATAAGCTTACCTTTGCCAGGATTAGTCGTAGTGCAGCTTTACTCAGAAAAATGACAACATTGTATGTCTCAGCTGCTCAGTACAAAATCTGCTCAGTTTGCAGATGAAAAAGACAGCTTTTTGTGACTGCCAGTACAATAAACTGAGTTTGAAATATTAAAGCTAATGAGATATAAATATTTAAGAACAAAGCATCAAAAACATCATTATATAATGTTGCCATGATTTTTGCACGTTTTCCTTTTCTGAATGTAATGTTAGTTCAGTGGGTGCATAAAACTAGTGCACGTATATAAAGTCAGGGTTTCAGCTGATTCTCAAGGAGTGTGCTACTGTTAACTCTGTTGCTTTCCTTCTTTTCTAGGGATAAGGAATATTAGAAACTCAGCCACTGAGTGGATGAGACATATGCATTGGGCAAGACTGTTGTGTAAGGTGGTGTCACTTTTAGTCACTTTTCTGGTCCATCACTGTACTTAAACTGTTATATATCAATTTTGATTTTCAATCTAGAAGTGTTGTGGAAGAACAATTACAATTGAATCACTGAACAGCTGTATGAGTTTGAAATGTCAAGTTTCTTCATGGCAAAATATTCACATTCTTTTTATTGCACAATTTGAAAAGTCAGGTTATGTGCATAAAAACCTTCATAGTGTTTGCACTGCAACTTGCAAAACGTACATTTAAAATGACCTTAATATATTTTACAAAATCTTTTTAAACAATTTTATATTCTTAAGATAAAAGCATCCTGAGAATGTTACAAAGTTCATTTTACAAGCCCTTCATTCTGCTATGCTTTATTTATCCCCATAGTTCCTAATTTGACAAGTTTATTTTACAGTTAGTATCTTGATGCTATATTTCACAAAATATCTTTTAGCAAAAAGTACACCACTGGCATTCAAGTAATCCAGCCTCACATCTAATTTACAAATTAAACCTTTGTCAAGCTCTCAGGTCAGGAAAAGGAAACCAAAATACTTACAGGAACAGTTTTTAGCTGACTAAAAAAAATGTAAAGGCTTTGTGCATTAATCATTTGGTCAAACATTTAAGTTATGCAGTTTAATGTTTTGGCAAAAAAAAATCCAACTCTCTTTTTAAAAAAAATTCTTTCATTTTACACCAAATGTAAACATACACTGACAATATTAAAGTACTTTGCTGTTGAACACTTTTCCTTTCTCCTTTTTTTGAAGTACTTAGGAAAAGCAAACAAAAACTTAAGTGCTAAGAATGAACTGAGTATCTTTGGGCTGAAAGAAAAGTCTTACTGGAAAAAAAATTAAAAATAAATTAGGTTTTCTTTTTCCTCTACAGACATTAAAAGAAATAGTCTTCGAAGAAATTCTAGTGCCATATCTACTAAAGCAGTATCTTCCTGATCAAGACTAAAGCTTCAGACATAAAATTGACTATTTTACTAGGAAGAGACCTATTAATATTTACATATTTTTGTAAAGGGAGTGTTCAGGGTTAAAAATATATTTATTTTTGAAAGACAAGCCTGCCATCCTGATGGCAGTGAGTCAAGCCATAGAACAGAAGACAAGTTACAGAACATCCTTAAGTTTCTTACACCCTAGATCAGAGGAAGGAGCTCAGGCAAGTTAGAGGTAAATGGCCTGGATTCCAGGAATGGAGACAGACAGTGGCTCATTATATGAATGCTTGCATGGCCACGAGTATCTACTTATATAGGCTTTGTTTCTCTTCTACCTAAAAATAAATTTTTATTGTTGGCTGACTGAACAAGTAGTGAAGAGAAACAGTTATGGTTGCCACAGTGAAAGAGTAATGTTATCTAAGGTTTCTATCTGGATGGGCCAGCTTTTAGAAGGCGGCCAGGTGTTGAATACAAGCAGAGGCTAGGCCCAGATGGTACACTCCAGGTGGGAAAAGTAAACCACTTCAGCAACATCTTAATTTTATAAGCATATAATTCAGTCATGTGTAGCTTTTATTTTAGGCAATCATCAAAATCTGAAGGACCTTGCTAATCCTTAAGGCATCAATGCATCAGGGACTGAAAGCTCCAGGTAATAAATAGGGGAGCAAAACCAAACAAACAAGCATAATTGTGGCACAAGCTATTATTGTGTATCTACTTTGTTGGCTAGTTTCAAGAAAAATATTTTCAGGCATGACAGAAGGGGAATGTTATACACTGTTCTGAGAAAAATATTAGCTCATAAATTTCACATCATTTTTTAACACATCATTTAAAGGGCTGAATCTATCAGGCAAGATTCTCATCTTTACTGTTCCATCCGCACCACAGGAGAATATGTGATTTGCTGGTCCTGTCTCAATTTGCATGACTCCTGTCCCAATATTTCTGAAGAGAGACTGTCGAGCATGCTCATTGATGAAAGTGTGAAGAAGATTAAACGTAGACAGACTCCATACCTGAAAAAGCATTGAGACATCAATCTTTTCATACGGATAAAGACCGTGACATTAAATTTCATCAGTAATGAGTCACAGAGAAATTGGAATACATTTTGCATTCAAGAAAAAGATATGTAGCAATCTGTAATGACACAGTTCTAGACTATTAATTTTCTGTAATAAGGAAAATATATGGGGGCTAGGGTAAGACTAACTAGGAGTACTGCAAGGTAAGACTAATATGATTAATTAGTAAATGTGAAAGTCACAGCTGAGAAGAAATACTGAATGTATGATGTATTTGATTATTCCACAACTATGCAAATTTCTTTTTGAATTTACACATCATCACCATCTTCATCTCTCTGCTCCCTCCCCTTCCTCATTAATACCTTTACGTTGCCTTCAGCAGATCCTGTGACAAAATACTCTTCCATAGGATCAACTGCAATTGCTTTGACTGGAGAATCGTGACTCTGGAGTAACTGCTGCTGCTGTTTTTGGCGAAGATCAATTATACATGTAAAGCCTTTTCTGCCTCCAGATATTAACAGCTGATGTTTTGAAGCATATGCTAGCACAGTTGCTCCACTATCATGACAGATAAAAGCTGAAAGCCAAGGAAAAGTAATTTAAATAAACACACAGTACTAACTTCAATTTCACAGTACTAACTTTAATTTTCCATCAACCTCTAATGGTTCAAGAGAGTGGCAACAGCAACCTTGATGCTGTAATTGAATTTAGCCACAAGCAGTTCATTTATTGTAGTACCATATATATATATATAAACCCAGGTTCACATTAGACATCCTGCAGTTGTAGTATTCTTGAGTTAAGCAGTTACAGTCTATATACAAAAATAATATCCTCCTTTCTATCCCTGTGTAATTGCAAACTATTAAGCTATTAACTGATTCTTTTCAAACTCTCTAATGCTTGGGTACTTTAGAGCATATGTTACCCATAAGAAATGTCCTCCTAAATTACTTGCCCAAATATCTTGGAAGTTTCCACTGGCTATTTTAATTTGCTGCTTTTCACATTTGTTTCAATATGTCTGCTCCCCTAGATGAGTGGAGAAAGTGAATGAATATTACGATTATCAGAACAAAGCTTGGAATGTTTCAGACTAGACACTATGAATCCTAACACATGGCATACAGTTCAAAGGGTTCTCTAAATTTATGTTTAGTAATTCCACACACCTCACATAAAAAGCATTCACCATATTTCAACTACAAGGAGTTCAGTACTCCTCTCTCTGAGCCTAATTGTGTATTTCAGAAACTGAAAAGCATTTCTTTTCCACAGCAGCAAAATATTAGTAGTTACTATGCTAAATATTTATTATACCTCAAAAAGCATACTGACAGGAATAATTTTTCTAAAGCATTTGTGTAATACTGTATGTAGATATCTATAAATGCACACAAAATCCACAGTATTTGGCCTAATACAAAGAATAAAAATGTCATAGAATTGTATGATCTTTGAAAGCAAAAATGCACCACATTGCAATTACAAGTTCATCTTTTAGTTCAACTCTGAATATTAGTATATGAGATTGTATTTGTACATCTGCTTACTCAATATATTTATAAATCAATATTTTCTGGAAAGTTTGGTATGTTTATTCATATCTGTACCTTCAGAGAACTGTTTTATAATCATGGCTTCTCTGAGGACAGAATTTTCAGAAGCAATGTAATAGGTAACAGTTTACAAAAAAGCATGTCCTCTCATATTCTCCAAACAGATAATGTGTTTGCAAGTGCCCAATGCTATCTTTATAGTACCATTATTTGGTCTAATACTTAATTGATAAATTATGAATGGGGCTGCTCTGAACCTTGAATTGAAGGGTGTAGATGCATATCCTGCAAATGTGTATCTCACAACTGTGCTAAAAACTGTAGTTTTGACAGTTTTACAGCTATTGTCTCCTCAACATGCTAGTCACTACAAGCAGGAGTTGCTAAGAGTCTTTTAAAAAGGACCAGAAATTATAGCTGACTGGTTGTCAAGGTTTATACTTGTGGCGCAAAGGTACAGGGTATGCAAAAGAAGGTGCTCATGGCCATGAAACCAATCATTTATATATGGCACACTATCTGGTGTACCCAAAGGACAGTGAATGACGTTTTACTGCTAATATTAAAATTAATTCCCTCAATAACTTTTCCATAAAGAAAGACACACACTTTTATGTTGTTGTTTTTTTTATTTTACTGTGATCATATATTTTGCTGGTTGTATTCTACTTACCATGCACCAAGCTATTTGTAGGTGAAACTAAAGTATCCCAAAGACAAATGTTTACCCAAAGGACAGTGAATGACGTTTTACTGCTAATATTAAAATTAATTCCCTCAATAACTTTTCCATAAAGAAAGACACACACTTTTATGTTGTTGTTTTTTTTATTTTACTGTGATCATATATTTTGCTGGTTGTATTCTACTTACCATGCACCAAGCTATTTGTAGGTGAAACTAAAGTATCCCAAAGACAAATGTTTCTGTAGAAAAAAAAAAAGTTTTAATTCACCAACAAATGTCCTAAACTATTTTGACCACTTGAAAAGTCATCTGAACCTTAAAAGTGCCATAAAAGCACTGTAAACAGACTTTCAATGGCTACTTTTGAGCAGACCCCAAATTATTTTCTCAGTTTCATGTATACTGCAAGAACATGCCCTCTGCACAATCACTCTATGGCTGCTCTCATGAAGGATTCATATTAAGATTACAATCTTTTGTAGCTGGATTCACCTGAATGTTAGCAGGTATTGCCATTTTTTGAACAAAACTTGCTTAAGAAAATAGGTGTGAAATGAAAAGCTATGCACAACTCTCTAGGTCTATAAAAATAATTTAAGACAGACTCATACGAATAGAACAGAGTTGGAAGGGACCCTACGATGATCATCTAGTCCAACTGCCGGACCACTTCAGGGCTGACCAAAAATTAAGGCATGTTATTAAGGGCATTGTCCAAATGCCTCTTAAACACTGGCAGACCTGAGGCATCAACCACCTCTCTAGGAAGTCTGTTCCAGTGTTTGATGATCCTCTCAGTAAAGAAATTCTTCCTAATGTCAAGTCTAAACCTCCCCTGACCCAGCTTTGAACCATTCCCACGTGTCCTGTCAGGGAGAAGAGCACAGCACCTCCCACTCCACTTCCCTTCCCCATATGGAACATGAACAGAGGATTTATGCTGCCCTATGGAACCTTCTTTAATAGGCACAGGGAATTCAGCTGCAAACATTGCTTTTCTCCTCCTCCTCCCACAAAGGAAGAAAGAGAGCAGAGATACACATCTTGCTCTTAAACTGCTCAAAAAGAAACATCAAAAGGAGTAGAGGGTGGGGAAGGGATGGAGAGAAAGCCCGTCACCACTTCATTTTTATACATTATCACAGCAATTCTTACCTATTGTCAGAAGACAATCCTGCTGTGGCTATCAAAGATGATGAACTGATGAAAACAAAGTCATTGGCTGTTTTGTTATGACACTGCCAAGTCTGAAAAATTGCAGTTTAGAAATTATTTATTAAAAATAAAGATTTTGTGAACCATGAAATCTTAAACTACCTTAAGAAGGTAAGGTGTTTCGAAAACAATTTAATGAACAGAGGTTATAAAGGTATGTGTATGCCTTCTGATACTCTTAATTTTTCATGGAAATATACATTGCAGTCCTATGTTATTGACAATTAATTAAAACCTGACAATTACTGATAAGTCTCAAAGAACATTAAAGTTATTTCGTATCTAACACTGCATTTTTTCACTCTCCAACTTAGTAAGTATGATTACAGTTTACAAATATGTCTGTCATATGGGTCACAGGAAGGCAACAATATATTATTATATCTTGATTAATACTGCTTATCAGCACAATCCCTGCCCTCTCCTAATTATTCTAAAGAAGGAAGGAAATAAGAGAGCCCAACATAAGTTAATGGAAGCAAATTTAATTTTCAGCTTACCAAATATGGTTTAGGTGAAGTTCCAGTAAGTGGGCAACATTTCCAATTTGTTTGATATAAACTTATATATCCATCAGCATCAACAATTCCAAACTGAAAAAATATGTATTATTAGTAAATGCATAAGTATGTATTACAGAGAAATTATCCACAATCCAGAGAAACTACTTTAGATTTGAAGAATGTGATGTCTCTGCTAATTTAAAATTGTCTTTGGGGAGGGGAGCATGGGAAAGGGAAGAGAAGGGGATGTACAGAAACATTCTGTCAGTTACCTTATTTCCTTGGTAATTGAATCTCATTCGAGTTACCCTTGAGTTGCCACCAGATCGAAAGCATGTGATTTGCTGGGCATGACCCCATTCAAACATTCTTACACTACCATCTTGAGCACCTGTCAGGTCTGCAACAGAAAATATCTACATGACTTTCCATAGGTGTTGTAGCAGTTGAGCAGGAGGTTGCTTCCAGAATTTTAAGAAATCTCACACCAGCTCACAACTTCCTCAAAATAACTAGTGCCACATTATGTGCCATAGTACTTGCCATACTGTAGGAGTAGTGGATACCACTGAAACTTAAAACCCACGCTATTCAAAACTTGTTGAACTGTACCTACTGTTCAATTAAGAACTGCATTTAGATGGTACTGAAATAAGAAGCTATTTACTTGGAGATAACAAGATATCATCTTTCGTCCAAGTTTCAAATAAAATAGAAATACAGTATTTTTTGCTATAAACATCACAATTTCTAAAGGCTTTACTATATCTCACAGTGTATTTTTTAATGAAAAATAGTTTCAATAAAATAGGGCTTATAAGCAACTTTTAAAACATGTAATAAATTGCTGTGCTAGTATAAAATAACAACATACCAAGAAACAGAGCCAATAAGTAAATATATAAACTTTAGATAATTTTTTTTTAACAAAACACAACGTACAATAAGGCAATGTTGGATGAGAAGCCATTCTTCTGACATTATTCATAGCCTTCTTGAGCATCTGTTCAATACAAAAAATAACAGAAAATTTTAAACAATACTACTTAACAAAAAGTTATTGAACTAGAATAATTAGTGATGGCAGAGAACTGTTTCCTATCAAAATTCCTACTGAAAGCAAGTACTGTGTTCACAAATTCAGGCAGAAGTCAGTTTCTTCCAAGACTGTCTAAATGTTAATACTTTTGCAGCGTTATATATCTAGGTAAATATCAAATTTTTCCTTCAGAGATTTATGGATCCAAATATAAACACTCCTTAGACTGCAGTCTTACCTCTTTTCTTGCCAATTCCTTTCTGATTCCATTAAATTTATTGGAATATTCCTGAATTTTGTAAGATAAGCAAAAGAGAGGCAGAAGCATGTAAAGAAAGAGGTAAACAAACTTTAACAGACGTAAAAAGTAGGAAGGAATATATTTATTTTCAAGTCTAGTTAATTTATTGTCATTGTTTGAAAAGTGATTGTTTGTGGCCATCCAGAATAAGCAATATATCTAGCAACTGGTAAAAGAAAAAAATTCTTCAAAAGTGTTTAGAATTTTGCAAATACAAGTCTAGTGGATTTTCAGTAGCACTTTTGCTCCTAAATTCGAAATTCTGCTTTGAGCAAGGTACATTCCCAAGAACGCTGTTTTTCTTAGTTAATTAATTCCTAACTAAAAAGAGTACAATGCATGAAGAGGACTAGAGACATTAGACAATTTAGATAAAAAGCCCATCTATTTAAACCATAAGTCCAACCCACAGTAGAAAAGAAATGGTAGGGATTTTTCATCAGGGAAATGTGTCTGTATTTTCCTTGCATGTCTCTTCCCATCTTTTTTTTCTATTAATGTACATCAAAGTTAAGTTTTCTTTCTTTTATTTCCTGTTAGTTCTCCTCAAAAGCATCTGGCTACTTTGAGGACTGTCTGTCCTCAGCAAATTGTTGGATTCAATTTGCTCATGGATGTATTATTTTGAGAAAGAAGAGGCCATGAATAGAAACTTGTGCCAGGTGTTAACTTTAAATTATAACACCAACAAAAGTCTGTTGCCAAAGCACTCACTTTCAACACAGCGGCTTACCATTTACTACGCATCAGTAGCAAGCTGGCACTGAACTATTTTCACAGGATCATTTAGGTTTGAAAAGACCTTCAAGATCATCGAGTCCAACCATGACTTTCAATTGCTATAATTTTATAGAGTATTTTGCCACTACTTTGTCACTGAAACAGCAGATAGTGAATCAAGTATTTTATATATGCTATCCTCCCCTACTGTCAACTGGAAAGAGGTATGAATTACAAATTTTTACTTGCTTCATATTACTTAATATTATCCAAAGAGTTGAAGAGCAATGGTCTTCAAATATTCAGTTTGCAAACAAGAAGGAGAAAAAACAGGAGAGAAATAATTTATTTCCTTGCTTATATTTGCCAGGGTTTGGATTAGTGGGGTAATTGCAATCCTCTTGACTACATTTTGGGAGCAGATTTATATCTTTCAACTCTTAAAAGCTTTATTATGTCTTGAAGAGAGCGCCTTATGCCTCTTAGCTACCCAAACCGAATGATTTCAAAACACTACCTTGAAGATAAAAATAAGGTCTTCAGATAAATATTTCCTTTTTTCTCTAAGTATTTTAAATGACAATGAGAAAAGGTTAACGTTTTGTTAAAACATTGGTGAATAAAAAAATATATGCATTATAAGATGTAGGACAAGACAACAGAGGATGATATTCTTCAAGCATTAGTGCATATACCTAGCAATATAGTAATTGCAATACTTCAGTCTCTAAACTTACAATTTATCTAAGTGAAAGAAAAGTTATTCATGCTCATTTTATTTCTTCACCAACATGAAGGTCTGTGTTGTGTTTTACAGCTACTAACTTTTACCCAGAAGTCAATGGAAATAATCTTCCTTCATTCAACAGATAGCCATGCATCATGTTATCCTAACTCCTACTGGATTATGCTTTGCAAAAATTCAAGCTTACAGAAACAAACATGCCTTTAAAAGACTATGCCATGAATCTCTGGTGCAGCATCTCCAATTTAGAAGCCAAGTATCACTATCAAATACATTCATTACTAATACAACCGACATTTGATACTGCTAGCCCTCAGTTTCAACTTAACAGTAGCTGATGGCTAGAAGACTGATTGCTTTGTTGGAGAGTTAGGTGCTTTGAATGTAATCTGCAGTGAGACTGAAGAATAAAAAAGATTAAAATCTGAGTCACCAGTTATTAGACTGGTGATCTAATGTAAGAGATACTGGCTTGAAAGCAAGCTGTTGAACATTACCTGAGTTTCAAAGCTGATAGTACACACTAATTACATCAGTGCTCTCTTAGAAACACCTCTGTAAGAAATGTGTAAACACACTGTGCTGAAGAATCTGGTGGTGACCCTCCTTCCTTACCTTGTATGAACTGCGTAACAGGAAACAGTGAAGAAGAGTAACAAGGAAAACTTCAGAGCTAATAAAACATTAACTGCCCCAGTATCATAAGTCCAATAGTTTCCCTTGTTGATAGAAGTGAAGCAAAGACAACAAGACTGAAAAGCCAGTAATGGTAAAGAACAGTGGTCTATATCTACTAAATGAGCTGCAAATCACAGAAAAGTAAAGATGGGAACAAGAATCAAAAGCAATAGCCGAAGGAACAAAATATAAAATAGCAACAGAAAGGTTTTGGTGAAGCTGGTTTTCATCCAGATTTGAGTGCTTCCACAGTAACACTATTTCCTCCCAAGAATGCTTGTATCATCCTTATTTCACTTTGTCCTTCATTCAGTACCTTTGTCTCTCCCTCCCTAGTGGCAGCTGTCATCACGTCCTGTGGTTGGTTCTCTACTCTGCCACAATCAAACAGTATGCCAAACAAAATTTATGTCCAAAGTTTAACAGCAAACACATTCAACAGAAACATAGCCATGTATCTTTAGGTAAGAAAACTTTACTACATATAAAAGAGAAAGTCATGTAAGAACAGTTTGCATTAATAGATTATGCAATCACTTTGTTGAGAAATACACAAACATACACAAAGTCCATACATAAGCATAGTGCCACAGGGAGTGGCAAATGCATTCAAAGAGTACTTGCAAGAGAGCTGATTCTGACACCAGAGCTGCAAAGCTGGCAACTAGGATCAGCAGTTCCTAACGAGCAGGGAGATGTGTAGGTACTGGAATCAATACCCACTTCTATGTGTGGTACCACTGTTGGTCTTACAAGGCTAATTCCTTATTTACTACTCCTAATCATAAAATATTTTCAAAAATCAGCTACAATGTGAATTAACATATGGTTCTTGCTCTGAGCTGTACACACAAAGTGCAGCCAAGTCAGAATACTTAATGCATTCCGTTACCTAGGAAAACTCCCCATTCATGTGCAGAGAGGGTGAGAGATACAAGTGTCTTGTATGACCATTTCAGCACAGTTGAGTGGCTCCAAATAAGCATCTCCCAGCTAACTAATCAACAGATCTGCATTATTAGAGAGCATCTATGCTGCACAGAAAATAAGGGAAGTGTGTGAATGGCCAGACTAGAATTGTCATTTGATTTCAATTAAATCTGAGCTAACAGCTATTTGCTCAAGGCCAAGTTTCACTCAAAACACAGAATCTACTTCTGAATGTATGAGCTACCCTTGTACAGGTGTCCCCTCTATGATAAGAAGAACCAATTTGCTCATGTGACACTTTATTAGGTGTCCTTCACTCTATTGTATTTCAGAAATGTTAAACAGTGACACTGATTATCTTCGCTAAAACATGACATTCAGAAGTGAGTTATTTAATAACACCACTAAGGAGAGTTATGGCAAAACTGTGGAGCACTCCAAAGATGACAAATGACAACAGTCTTGGAGATAAGAAGTCATATATCAGCATGACACAGAGTTCAAACTTCGTATTATATTTGTAGTTGGTCCTATTTCTGCAGTCCTGCCTTCCTCATTTTTCTTACAAAAACAAGAATTCTCATTTTTCCCAGGTTAAAGCTGCTCAGTTTCCTTTCATTTGATGCCTCTGTCCTGCCAGTGAAAGCTGCTTTAGGAGTTCATTTGCTGTACTCTTTATAATACAGGCTCCTACTAATATACAGTGTACTACAATGGTACTTTCTACTAGACCAGAAGTTGGTATTTACTTAAAAAAAACCCAAACAACTGGAATAATCTGGAAATCAGAATGAAACCTAAGATCATCTTAAAACAAAAGCTGAATTGGTATTTCACACAAATATTTCTAACCAATCTTCATTAATTTATATCCTGAAATCTCCTGAATATATGTTTTTTAGATAGAGCATTTGGCTTCAAGTCATTAAAGAACAATTTAAGCTGCAACATCTTACCTGAACCCCGATTCTTTATTTTAAACGATGTATCTTAAGTGAAGAAAGCATATATGGATTGACTAAGAGCTTTATTTGCTTAGTTGATCTATGTTAAATTCTGTACCATATTTTAACCTGTTAATTGGATGATTATAAGTTCCAGTTTGCCTTGATTACACAGAGGAACTATGATTACCTACACAGTAATTGTAAAACATAATGAGCAACACTGAACAGACAAAAGGAGAGAAGTAGATAGAGTACATAAGGCTAACCTTTGACAAGTGACTTACCACAGATGCACCCCTGCCAGTTTGTGTACTACCAAGCCAAGGCATATTGATAGGTGTGCCGGGATTACTATGAGTATAAGGAGTGGTTCCCTGAACATTTACCAGATCATCACGAGCATGTATAACTAAGAAATCATCAGCCCTATAAATGAAACAACATTATAAGTTAGATTAGAAACAACAACATTAAATACTGTGCTCTGTTACACTGATTTATACACAGCTAAGTTGTGATATTGGAAACATAGAAAGTATACCCTTTATTTTCTACTTCCACATCATCGTCAACCCAGGTATAGATCTGTGTAGCTAAAATTGAAGAAACATCTAATTCTTGAATGTCGTGACTTGATGCTATTGCAATGCAGTTCCGATTTGCCTGAAAAAAAGTAACACACACAAAGGCAGATACAAAAGGAATACTCAAAAAGGTGCTCTTTTTCGTTTTCTCTGGTTCTCAGTTGTTCACAAAATCACAATCAATTTACAAAACCCAAACATTTATGTCTACAAATCTATATACTCTCACTGTCTAAACTTGACACTTCCCTTTTAAATGTTTATTTGCATCTGGGATACCATCACACACTATTTGTATTTTATACCTCTCTCAAGCAGCTCTAGTCCTTCTGAGTTGCTTTTCTCAGAAGATAAACGAGAGGTAACTATAATACAATGCTTGCAACCAAGCTCCTCTCCTCCACTTCTTAAGGCTTAAATGGTTAAACAGGAAAAGAAAGGATGGCATCCTGCTGCTTGTCTTCAACAGAGGAAGTGTACTCTTACACACAAGCTTAAAGAAAAAGTAGAAGCAACCTCTCTCTTCCCTCAATACACTGCAAAACAGAAAAAGAGACAAATTGCAGTAGGACTGTTTAATTATTAAAAGATAATTGTGAAGTGCTTTAGTGAAGGGAGTGCTAGGAATTTAAGCTGTAGTAGGATGGCTGGCAAAAGATATCTCACCCACTCACAATGGGACTACCACTTTCTTATCTATCAGGTGGAAATACACCACAGTTAGATTATTCTACCTCCTTTATACTCACCTTATTGACTGCAAAAGCAGTAATGATGTCAGACTCTTTATGGATTATTCTTGCCTTGCCTCCTGGGTAACCCAAATCTGTTTCTATCTGTATTTTAAAAAGTAAAGCATGTTTAAGTTCCGGCTTCTAAGCAACACTGCTTTATACTGGAAGTACAGCACCAAAAACTGAATTGTACAAAATTTCTGGTTTTTTTTTCCTCTATCTTAATTCTAAGAAAAAATGACAAATATAACCTGCAATAATTACAGCAAACCTGTTTCACATGTAATAATCTAGCTTCCCACTGCCACACTGAGATGACCACAGCAACACAGGAAGCATACTTTGTCACAGAAGTAAGTCATAGTACTGTGTTCATTCTCAAGTTTTTCAGGGATGCTAAAAAACAGTGAGGTGATATGCACACCTGGGGGTGTTGATAACAAAAAACTGAGTCTTGATGTTTTGCTCTCAAAAAAATTAGCTAAATTTGATGAGTTCCTTCACTTTTCTGATTCTTTTCCCCAAAAGGGTGAAGGAAGTGAGCACCTGCATGGTGTTTAGCTGCTTACTGGGCGAAACCACAACACAAGCTCTTAGCAAACAGTTTTCACTACTGAAACTGATGAAACAGTCCAAAAGAAGGTATAAAGAAGATCCTGAGCAGGAAAATGAATTTGAACTTTGTCAGCTTATCTATTCACCATTCTCCACAACTACATATATCTGGTATCCTGCACATTCCAGTAGCACAAAGTTATTTTACTACCACATTTTCTTTTTTTCCCTAATGCGATCAAATGCTGTATTTGAATCTTATCTACCAATTCATATTCTAGAAATGTATCCAAGTATATATCAGCACACAAAATTCTAAACTCTGATTTTGAACAAGGGTACTAAAGCGCTAGTAAAGAGCTCAACATTGCAAGTATTAAACTGATAGACTACAGACTCCAGTCTGTTGTAGTTACAAAATAGTTTTACAGTAAAAAAATGGCACTGCCAAACAAGTGGTGACATAAGAATTCAAACCTGAATTACAAATGTATAATTTTGTATTTTCATCAAAACATGAAGAATTATTCCAGAACTATATTTTCCCAGCCTCTCCCCTTCCATTTCTTAATTCTCTGGTTTTCAAAAGATTTAAATAAGGATATTTTGCTTGAAAAACAGTAAGATGGTACTGCCAAAGAACTGCAAAGTCTTTTTCAAAGTCTGAAAGAAGCCTGTAGCTTCATAAAGTAGACTACTTTTTTAAGATTAAAGCAAAGTTAATACTCTGGTGCTCTTAACATATGTAAAACTGCCTAAAACTGCAGTGACAAACAGATACAAAAACATGATCTGAGTTTTATGGTGAAAAAACACACGTGAAATTAAGATTTTTCTTTTCCCCAGTCAGTTCCAATTGGCTACTTGCCAATACTGCTTTATAGGATAATTGATATAAATAAGGTAGCCCAAGGACATCACAGAGTGTTCTCATTTATGTCTTCTCACTAGTTTTTAAAAAGAAAGCCTGAAGAATACCATATTGGTTTGCATTTCTAGGTGGAGTTGTACCTTTTGTATCCACCAATTTTGTATCAACTTTCTTACAAGAAAGTTGATACAAAATTGTTTTATGGGTTCATTTGTCACCATCTTAAAACTAAGGCTCCATGAAAATTTTCAGTAGCAAACTAGTACCATGGTAACAAACTGCTCTAACTTCAGGTAACCACCTCCATTTACAGGCAACTATTATGGCTATCTCATACACCAGTACGAGAATGGTCCTGTATGTACTATGTTCTCATAGTAGTACTGAATTTTTGTCATTTGGGCAAATCTCAACCTCCTCTGACATAGCTATGGAATTTGAGAATACATATTGTCCTTACTTGGTTGTTTAATCCAGTTTTCTAAGATATTTATTTTCAGATAGGCTCTATAACAAGACTGGTTTAACCGGATCTCTTACAAAACTGATTTTTAAGTTTGTTTGATATATCAGTAAATATTTTTTTAAGGGAGATCAGCACCATTTCAAAAAGTAGTATTTCATAACGATATAAGGTCTAATTAATTTGAGCATTACTACTGTGTACCTTATGGACGATGGGCTCCTCCACCACAGAATTTTTCATGGTTTCATTGTGCTCCTCTAATGACTTCACCAAGGAAAGAACAACCACAGAACAAAGAATAAAGATAAGACATAACATGCAAGGTATCAAGGAAATCCTTAATTCCTTGTTGTTTAAACCAACACAGAACAACTGAAACACAACAGCACGCTTGCACACAAACACATATGTATTTTATGTAATAACAGTAATCATCAAATTCGAAACTCTATACTCAGTACAGAAGACACTAATTTACCTGTCCTGTACTGTAACAGAATCTGGTCCACCTGGAAAGTCAAATTTCTTGGAAAATAAGAGATGTCCACTGACATTTTATCAGTAACAAGAGGATACAAAATAAAGCCAAGACACCTATGCTGTGTAAGGCTGCCAATGATCCTACTTGGAAACACTTAAAGCATATCTAAAGTATTCTGAAGTATTTTTCCATACAGCATAGCAAGATGGTTGCATTAATGTAAGACATTATCAGAAATGGTGCGTCTTCAAAGGACAAAACAAAAGGAACAATTTTCCATTTAACTGCAGTCTATAGTGAGTGCAAATAGTAACAAATACTCAAGCTGATACTGTAAGTTGTGACAGGGTAAAGACTAGCTCAAACTCTTTGTTGCCATGGCTTTACTAGTCATGAATACTCTTTTTCTTCTGCATGTTTAATTTCTTTGGATATACTTCTTTTTCCTATGTTTCTGCTGCTCCACAGTTTTTCTATAGTACTAGTGACTCTTTCCAATTACTGGGTGTAGGTTTGAGTAAGAAAGAAAAGGAGCAACTAAAGAGGGAGAAAAAAGCCCAGAACTCCACTACAGAACCACAACCTTAGAACATTTAACTGAATCTGGAACTTGGAATCCAGCTAGACACTGCAACAAGTTATCAGAGACAGAAATATTAGCTGTTGTATGACCATTTTTCCTATAGAAATTGAATCATAACATGATAGAAACCAGTGGATAAATCCAGGAAAATTATGGTAGAGACAAACTCAAACTTTTACAACCGACTGATTAGATTATTGTTTTTAATCTTCGAAATTTTCAAGTTTGTTATTCTTTTAAGGCAGTTTCTATACCGATCTTCAATAGACCAACTGTAGCTAAGTCGTGTTAGTTGAACCTCTACAGTCAAAGACTGATTATTTTTGTTTTCAATGAACAATGCACAAAGATTTTTAATATAAAATACTGTAGATTTAGAGCCATAGAGAAGTATATTAGCCACTAATGCTCTAGAAAGTAAGCAAGCCAGCCAAACAACTTAAATAAGCTCAGAGATTGACCTGCAGCATTTTACGCATTTCATATATCATACCAACCTCATTCAGGCATCGCTTCTTTGTAAAAATATTTCTGATAAAGGTTTCCTGGACTTCTTCCTGTTTAACCAAGTACTGCCAAAGCCTCTTCACAGATAGTGCAACATGACTGTTAGATCTACAGAACAGAGTTAAAATAAATAGCATGGTCATACTTACAAAAGACTGCAATATCTTATATTCTCATCAAACTACAGTCAGAAGAAATGCAGAAGCAAAACTACAGCTTTCAAGCACTGTACAAGACCTATTTGGAAGCATTCTGGTACCATCTTCCTACATGTGAGAGGAGATGCAAAATGAAGAAGAAAAAGAACACATAGCATTTTCATCTCCTACCTTGGAACAGTGAGAAAAATCTCTTTAAGAGAGCGCACAACAATAAAATCAGCCTACATATTTATTAGTCCACCTCATTCTTTACAACACGGATCAGTTCTGTTAATTGCTAATGAATGCTTCTATCACATGGAAATGAATGACTAACACTTCCTGCTAGGAACACATTAGCTGTGTAACATCTCTGAAACAACCATGACTTTTCGGTAACATAACTGAAGGACTGTAGAATCAGATCAGACTTCAAATGTTTATGTTCATCCTTAGAAACCCTATGCTCAAGCAAAATTTGCAAATACAAATACAGTTGCTCATGGCAGGCCAAAAACTGCTTAAATTATAATTTTAAAACAATGCCAGCCTGCAGATACATGCTAAGCTGTTCCTTTTCAATCAGCTCAAGGTACTAAAACTAATTGTGACAATTGTGTAGCATTTTACAACAAAGAGACAGACTTTCTGTTGATTCCACAACAACAGGTGATAGTAAGATTTAAAAGGCAGAAACCTTTTAAAAAAGTAACAATTTAAGAAGCTGAGCAGTCCTTTCTGGCTTAAATATGCAATTATGTGGAGTCACAACTATGCAAATATTACAAATAGTAAACATTCCTTCTCTGATTTTAGGAAAAGGTGATCATAGAAGGTAATTTCTTATCTAAAGGTGGGGCAATTATTTAATTCACTGTCACTCATCCTTAATTACTTCTTAAGGCAAATTTGTTATTCTTTATTTTACTGTCAATCACAGTTTTTCTACAGAGACACTCAATGGTAAACTTCAATAAAAGAACTTAAAAGAATCAGAAACTTTTGATTTTTTTTTCTGATCTTGCTTTGGA